ACTTTATTTTCTTATCCCCTCAATGTCCGTGGAGATTCTTAGTCATCCAGGCCCATGGTTGGACCAAAGAGGCAACTGGACGTTTCGCTTCTCATCCAAGAAGAATGGACGAGTCTTCAAAGAAATCAGAACTGAAGAAGCTTTTGGATGAGAAGTGAAACGGCATCAAAGAAAAACCAGAAAGCCAAGATTGCCTCTTGCTTTTTAAAAAATAAAGTCTAAAATTCATTTTTCCAATTTGTATATTTAAGTAAATAACTATAAAAAGAGTGTATATATTATATATTTCACAGCTATACAATTTCTTTATTTCATTTCATCCTAATGTTTCTTCTACCTCAATAGCATTGATCTTCAGAGTACATTAGTTAACAATTAAATACAGCGTCTCATGTTTCTTGAAGTCCAATTTTATTTCGCTACTATACTTTGGAAATAGAAATTTATTTTGTATGTTCTTGGAAGAGAATACAATACATTTATTTATTTTTTACTCTGAATAATGTTTCTTGCCAAAATGATAGTTTTAAGTTAAGCTAATTAATAATAGGATGCATAGATGGATAATGTTTTGGTAAATTAATCAAACTGAATGCATTTGCTTAAGTTATACTGTATGTTTTTCTCCTTTAAATGTGTTAGGCATATTAATATAATCTGTCTACTTGTTTTTAATTTTGGCCTTTTTATTTGGCAGAAACAAGATATTAAATAGTTGCCTTGCTTTTAATTACTTTGCTTTAATATATATTCTTTTATTTGGATTCCGGTCATATAGTTAATAGTTTCCTTTGTAAAATGATAAACTAAAAATAATTTTATATAGTTTTACAGAATTACATATTACAGGAATTTTCCATAATATTCCACAATAGAGATGTTAGACTTCCTTTCCAATTTTTAGACAGAATCAGAATTGGAATGCTGATTTACTTTTAGTACGGTTACCTCTTAGATAGTTTTTCAGTGAAGACAGTTTTTAATCATGTCCTTGGGTAAATCACAAGTTTGAATCTATGGTTAGTAAATTTACCAGTTAATGTTACAGTACTCAATTCTATTAATTCACCCCCTCCCCCCCGTGCTATTTTAATTCAGGTTTTGTTCATGGTCAGATTTGACTCCATCACCTCCCCCCAATTCTGTTCCATGGTATTTTCAGTTGCCTCGTAACATACACATCATGTTTTATGTAGTGAATTCAGATTTCCATTTGAAGTTAATGACAGCTTATCTGGCTATGTTTAAATATGCATAAGGTGTCATGGTATAGTAACATTTTCCTAGTTCTTGTGCTATGAATTTATGTTAGAAATATAGGAGGGAGGGAGGGAAGTGCAGTAAATGCATTTCCAGCTATTTTTAGTTGACAATTTGAGGAGAAAGGATATATAACACAATGGAAAAAACAAGAATGCCTCTAAATGTACGTTGCTTATTATGTGAATAGAGAGAATCAATAATTAAACTCAAGATGCAGTAATTAAACTCAAGGTATTAATGGGCTTCTGTCCCTACTTTCATTAGATTCTTTTGGTGTATATTTAGCATGGAATTGTTGCTATCCATAGCACTGCGCATTCTTTGAAAACAGTTGGAGGCCCTGCTGACTGCAGGCATCACACCTCTTGGCTATTCATTAAAGAGTCCAATCTCTGTTAGGCTGCTGGGAAGATCTAAAAAAAAAAAAAGGTACTGTTTTAAGACTTGCCTGAACCGTAATGAGTGGATTTCTTAAATCAGTGGCATCCTTTTTTCAGGCTTTCATATTTTTTTTAAAATGATCAGCTGGAAAGTGCTCTGCTTCCTTAGGATCAGAAAGTCCCTTTAAAAATAGACATAGGAACAAAGTGCTTTAAAAACATGGTAATAAATATTTATTATGTAATGCATATGTCTATTTTACTAGCATCAATA